ACCGACACTCTTGCCCTCGTGACCTGTTTGATTCACAGGTACACCCGCAAAATTAGTTCGGCTCGGGCGGCCAGACAATTTCGCGGTTGAAGCTTAGCTCCGGGAAGTTATCTACGTTTTGACCCAAATAATTATATAAACTATCAGAATCGTTTGAAGGGCGTTTGCAGGTGTATGATAGATCAGAACTGACGTTTGATCGATGCTCGTTTTTTTTTAATTAATTATTTTAAAAAATTAAATATTTTGACGGAAGTTAGCACCTTAATTTTTGAAATTTTGCGTTGGAATATTCAATGACCGATTAAACGACGCAGAATCGTTTGCAGGTGATTGATAGATGACTTTCAGCCTCCTCTGATCAACTATTTAGGAATTATTAGTGAAAAACCGTTTTGGAGCCATTGGTCGTAGATCACGGGGCCGAAGAGAGGGGAGGCCGCCATGTTTTATCGTACTGCTGGCTACTTGCATTTGGAGCACGGCGATTTTGGAGCAACAATGGTGAAACACGATTTCAATGGAAATATTTATTTATTCACTCAATTGAAGTGGTAATTGGTAGATTGAGTGCGGTGAGGACAAGTTTTTTTGAAAGCGGAAGTGAAATGTCTCCAAGATTTTCGTGCGACGTTTTTTCCATTTTCTTCGGCAAGGAGTACAACAAAAAAGGAGCGGGTAAACAATCTTAGTCCATTATTGATAATTACTGATAGTTGTTCATTCAGTTTCATATTTCGATGTTGTATTTATATGACTAAACAGTGAGAATCGATAATTTGCCACAAATTCTCCGGAAAATGGCCGTTCTTGGTGAGATATTTCCGCATTATTGTTTGATAGGTCAATGTAATTGGTTATTTAATGATATAATACTCTAATTAACAATATCTCTATCCTCAGAAGCAGAAGAGGTCGTCCTAAACGTTGATATATTCATCGCCAACAGTCAACAGACACTAATCATCAAAAATCTAATTAATTTTAAGACCATTCGCACAATTTTTCAAAGTAATCATGCAGCAGAGAATAGCGAACGAATGGAGATTAATTCCGATCAGACATGGGTTGAGGAATCTCTCCATTCTTTCCATCGAAAAAACATACGAAAAAAGTGAGTCAAAATTGTTATCAATTTTCCATCCGCTCTTGGTCCATTTTCATTATAATATAAAAAATATTATGATAATATTTAGGATAAAAAATGAAAGAGAAAATATTCCACTAACATCGCTGCAGGATGTGGAAACGAAATCCATCGCAGAGCTGTATACATAAAATGAAGAAAAGGAATACATTTTATTTTGGTATGATTGTTTCTTTATTCATTTATTTCATTTTTCTCTTTTATTTTCATCAAAATATTCGACAGTGACCAGTCATGTAAGACGGAGAAGTATGCTAAAGTCGGAAAATTTGGGGTAAAATGAACCATTTTTACTCTTTTTTTAGGGCCCGGGTGGACTGTCTGGAAAAAATAATTTACTCCAAAATTGGGACTTCCAATTACTCCGCCAATTAATCGTTTTTTTCGATAATTATTAGCTAGCGGTCTAGTTGTTAACAACCGCTAGAACGCTAGCTAACAATTATTGGGAAAAACGATTAATTGGCGGAGTAATTACAAGTCCCAATTTTGGAGTAAATTATCTTTTCCAGACAGTCCACCCGGGCCTTAAATGTTAATTACTCGGAAATAACTCCGCCAATTAAGTTCAGTGTAGGCTCATTACAAAGAGAAAAGGCTATACTTCTCATAGAAGCAAAATTATGTAATCTTACCCACAATTGAATCAGGAATTATTAATTTTTAAA